ATGTAACAAGTATGCAAATCAACAATAGAACTGGGCTGTAATGATGTAACAAGCATGCAAAGTGGACATATCTTACTTGAGATGAGGATGTGTTGGCCTTCCTACTAGGGACCTTCCTTCTGGGCTGCAATGGTTTATATCTGTATTAAGTAATTTTTGTAGAATGTATTGCAAAATGAAATAAAATTGGAGGTTCAGGTTACTTGAGATGCTGTTGCTGTTGCCGAAGCTGTTGCTGTTGTTGTTTCTGTTGCTGTTGCTGTTGATGTTGATGTTGATGTTGATGTTGATGTTGATGTTGCTGCTGAAGGTGGTTGCTGCTGGTTACTTTTTTTTTGCTTAAAAAGCTTGGACTTGGGATGGACAGGACCCTACAACTGCATTTCTTTTCCTCCAAATCAACAATACGTGTGGTATCACCCCAATCTACTTCAAATTTTCTATTACTACAATAGGTTGCAAAATAATTCTTAGCTTGCACCTTTAGTGCTTCCAAATCTTTGACAATGTTGGGACAAATTTCACCAGTGTATTTTTCAATCCCTTCCTTCTTGATTTGAATCCTATGCATTACCCTCCTTCTAATCCATTCAAGCATGCTGATTATGGGTTTGTCCATGGCTTCCAAGATGTTGTTATTGAATGACTCACACATGTTGTTCACCAATGTATCATACCTACTTCTTGGGCTAAAATAGGACCTAGTCCATAAAGCAGGATCTATCTTCCTTAGCCACTTGTATGCTTTCTCTTCTGGATCCATTTCCTTCAACTTGTTCATATGAAATTCAAATTCCCTCACAATCCCAGATGCAGCTGCCTTCCACAATAGGTCTCTTAATTTAATCCCTTTGAACTTTGCTCTAAAATTTGAGTAAATATGCCTTATACAAAACCTATGTTCCACATTTGGCATTACCTTCTCAAATGTAGGTACTAATCCCTTATATTCGTTAGAAATGAAGACCCATTCCATGTCATTAGCACTACCAATATCATCCATGAGTTGCCTTAAAAACCACACCCAAGAATCTTTACTTTCTGCCAAAACAGCTGCCCATGAAATTGAAAAATAGTTGTTGTTCCCATCCCTTTCAAGTGCACATAATAATTGTCCACCATAGATTCGTTTTAAATGACACCCATCCAATCCTATAATGGGCCTGTATCCTTCAACAAATCCTATTATAAGGGCTGCAAACCTAACATATAACCTCTGGAAAACTGGAGGTAATCCTAAGTTAGACTTAAGCATGCCTTTATTGGGCCTATCCACCACTACTTGCATTACATTGTTAGGATTATGTAGCCTCACTATTTCACAATAATCATACACCTTTGCATATTGGACCCTTTGATCCCCTTCAATAACTTCTCTTGCTTTCTTTTTAGCCCTATACAATTGAGGCCTACTAAAATCAACCATTAACTCTCTTCAAACCGTCTTCTGCATAGGCCCAACTTTGATGTTAGGGTCATCCCTTAATTTGTCCATATACTTGTGTGCCAAGTAAGTTGAGTTCACAAAGTGATTATTATATGACCTTTCACATGCATGCTTTGGCTGGAATGATTTTATTTGAAAAGTTCTCTCACCTTGCATGGGAGAAGCATGCAATCTCCATCCACATCCATGCTTGCACACTATAGTAATCCTAGAGTTGTCATTCTGTATGTACTTTATGTCATAACCATGTTGGATATTCCACTCTTTCATTGTCTTTCTAAAAATTTGAGGGGTGGCAAACTTCATTCTAAGTTTGAGTTGTGGTTTCTTCATATCTATTTCTTCAATGAACTTAGGATATTTATCTTCATATTCCTCATCTGATGAGTTATGTACACTATGTAAATCTTCATCCTCAGGATCAGAATACCACCCTTCATCTGTCCCTTGATCACATGAAGGAGGTTGCCTTTTTCTTTTTTTTGCAGTCTCCCTTGGTGAGAAAATATCATCATCTTTTGGCCCCTCTAAACCCTCATTCAACCAGCCAAGTTCATCACGTTCATAGTCTTTATCTTTTGAACCACTATCATCATTCCCATTATTAATGTAATCAGGATCATCACTATTTTCTTCATCCCAAGCACTATTATCCCTTTCCTCATCTCTGACATCTTCATCTGCTGCTCCTTTATCCCCATCTCCATTATGCGTTTCCTCATCACCTACATCTTGCACTCTATCTCCACAATCCATCTCTTCTTCACTTCTATTTTCCATCTCATGCCAATTCAGTGCCTGCTTAGCAGTAACTGGTACTCTTGGGGGTACCAAATGTTTCCCTTTTGGACTTATCACTTGTAATGGTTCCTGACCCTTCTCCATAAATAATGGAATCACATTTAAACCCTTATAATTACATATCATGGTATATACATCAACATCTTCTTCAATTATTGTCAACCCATCATCCAAAGTTTTTCCAGGTTTCCTATACCATAAAACAAAAGTACTATAACTATATATTTTATTTCCCTCAAGATGGTAAGAATCTCAATGAAAGATAGTTTGTTAGGATCAACATCATATATATATACTTTTTCTTATTTATAACCAATATTAGGAGGCTTACTGAAGTACCCATTATAGTTGTTCTCAAAAATCAATTTTTTTTACCTTACTATAGAAAACAACAAAACTTAACAATATTATATTACAAAACTCAAGCTCATTGGGACCACATAACAATAATCATAATCCTTGGACCACACTATTTAATTCATATTTGATTATTAATTCAATTCCTTAATATTTAATTCATATCCCACTGGGGCCACAACAAACTATACCCCACGTTCACTAAAATTTAAAAACATTACACCAATATAGGCATGGCATGCATGAAAAATTACAAAATCTCTAAACATAAATAGAATACATAAATGGAATATATGAATACAACTATAAAAAGAATACCCCATCTAAAACGTCAACATCATAAAAAAATCCAAAGTTAACATCATAAAAAAATACCTGCTGTTTATGAACCTCTATACGCCGCACCACCTCACCCGACATTAACCAACATACTAAAAAAATAAAGTAATAAAAGGCATGAATACAGAAAACTAAAGTACACAAAAACAAATATGTGAATAAAAAAATCCCACCTCGCTCCACTTTAACCACAATCCCCAAAAATTAAAGCAATACGGGCATAACACGCATAAAACATTACAAATTTTATAGATCGAAGTCAACACACACTCAGTTATGAATCAAAATTAGGGAAAATCAACATTTAACAATCCAAATAAATTAGGATAAACAACACATACCTAAACTAGTAATGGTGTTCGCAATATGATGGTGAAATCGATGATGAAATCTTAGTTCAATCCAATCAACCATGGTGACGGAGAAGAGAGAGAGAGAGAAGATAGAGATGCGAATACTAGTATTAGTCAACTAAACGAAACGACTGAGGGATGTAAAATATCTAGGGGCGTTTATGACTTTTTACAACTTCTATTATGTTTGTCAGATATTGCACTATAATATGAAATATAAGGGATTTAAGTGTTAAAAATGAAATTATAGGACACTTCGGCTTTGTTTAGTTTGTTTTTCAGAAAATTTTTTAGGAAAAATTCTCTATAAACAAATTTTCAAGAGTAATCAAACCAAACAAATTTTTCTAAAAAAAATCTTAAAATTTTATTTGGTTACCTATTTTCCAAAATCACTATATCTCATACGCATCAAATCAATCACTTTTTTTAAAACTCTCTCACTAAAACAATTTTCCAAAATCAGTTCTCAAAAAAGACAAATCAAACAAATTTTCATACTTTTTATCTTAAAAATTACTTTTACAAATACAAATCAAACACACCCTTCGTGTTTTTGTGGCAAATCACAGGAGATAAATTATGATTTATCTCTATAATTATCATTAAAATAATAATTCATTTCAATATTTAAGGGTGCGGAATCTGCTTGGGCATTTGAATTTCAGCCGTCGAAATTAGTCCTCTGGATTCTCGTCTTCTTCCGGCGACACCGCTGTACAAAACCCTACATACCCACAGCGTTTTAGTGAGAAGGAGCTTTGATTCAACGTAAGTTTCTCTCTCTTCGTATATATACACACAATATATTTCACATTCTCTCACTAAAATGTCAAAATTTCTGTATGTGAAAAGCTCACTGTGATTCTTTCTTTCTCATTTTCTCTCTCTCTTTTTGGCTTACAATTTTAGTAATTTTTGTTGAGTTATAAAGACATTAGTGTTTTTTTTTGGGTTGAAAGTTTCATGGGTTTGCTTAACTTGGACTGCAGCTTTATGTTGAATCATTTAACTTAAGCATATAATGCCCAATTTTATATATATTTGGGGTCTGTTTTTAAGTTGAGGCGTGTATTGGGTGTACATAAATCACTACATTTCGAATTTCCGAGAGGTATTGTTTTTGTCCCCTTAAAAAATGTAGACAAAGTTTATATTTTTAGCAGCCAAAAAAAAAAAAAAAAAAAAATTATGCTGGGTTTGGTTGGGGGATTTGGAGGGAGATTTGGAAATGAAAAGGAAAAAAATATGTGAAATTAGGTGCAATGTATATATATTTTATTCTACATTCACTTACTTTTTCTCTTTCACTTTTGAAATCCCTTCTCAAATCCCCTAACCAAACATTCCCCTAACCAAACATAGCGTTAGAGACGCTCTTAAATTCATTGCATGTAAATGGTTCTGGGTGGAGTTTAGGGTTTTTAGGATTTAAGCAGGATTAAAAAATGGCAGAGCTTTCCTGAATTACGGCTGATTTTTTTGGCGGCTTTTGTATTTTGTTGTTTGTAGTTTGTGTTAGGTTTCTTGTTTGGTCCTTTGGAACCTCGTTGTTCTTTTTCGTGTACGATGTTTATTTTATTTTAATATAATTGCGTTTTAACTTTTTCTCAAAAAAATAAAAGGAAAAATTAAATGCCAGAGCAAGAAATGGAGAGTCACATCTAAGAACAACATTTGCATGCTAGAAATGCAAGAGTGACGCTTCCTCTCTATCTCTCGTGCAGACCCCTCCATCTCTATATCTACTGATCGTCCCTGCCTCTCTCCTCCCTCTGTTTGATTTCTCTCTAAACCCTAAACCCTTTTGATCTCTATCTTCAATCCATTTGAGAAACCTGAAACCCTCGACTCCTTCAAATCGTCTTTCTGTTGGAAAAAATGAAGACGAAGCACAAACAAACCCTAAGACAAAGCAGATGAAGCCAAAATCCCTAAACCACACACAAATTCTAAGAGGAGGCGGATGAAGAAGACAAAGAAGATGAACAAGACAATCATGAGATTATTGAAATCGTCTGAAATCCATCATGCATCTTGCAATCTAAGTATTTATTTTTTTGAAATCGTCATCGTCTGAAATCTATCATGCATCTTGCAATCTAAGTATTTATTTTTTTGAAATCGTCTTACTGATGATGAAGAATTGCTTAAAATTTGCTTCAAATTGCTTGAGATTGATTGAAATTTGTTTGCGATTGCTTGAAATCTGTTTGAATTTGCTTGATTATTGTTGTTGTTGTTTTCAGTCTGTTTGTTTTTTGGGGGTGAATTTTGTTAAAAAAATTATTTTCTATTTGAGGGAGTTTTGTTGGGAAAGGATGAGGGAGGGAGGGAGGAAGGGAAGGAGGGAAGGAAGGAAAGCAATTGGGGATGATGATCTGGCAAATTTGGCATTGCCAAAGCTTGTGCCAAATTTGGCACAAGCTTTGGCATTGCTATAAGGCAGCCAACATAGCATGCCTACTTACCCAAAAAAACTGGAGACCTGTTTTGCCAACTCTTGCCAAAATCTGGCAATGACCGCAGCTCCTTTGGCAGCCCACTGTGGATGCTCTTAGGTCATATATCTATGATTTGAGGCATTTTTTTGCTTTTGTAAGAGCTTATTTTTTATTTCTTAAAATATTTTTTTGAATTAGGTTTGAAAGAAAAATTTACAAGATACTTTTTTCAATTAAGCTAGAAAAATACTTTTGAAATTGTAACTGAGCTGCACCATCCAAGCCATGGATTGAGTTTGGGTTTCGGCTTATTGTTTGATCATGTTTTATGGTTTACAGTGTAATTTTGTTGTATTTACAGATATTGAATCTAAATTGGGGCAATCAGATGATATGGATGATCGGGGAGCAAGTAGTAAGGATGATATGAAATTGAATGTGGAGGATGATATTATGGACTTAGATGACTTTTTCGAAAACCTAGTAGGAACAAGTAGTAAGGGTGAGAAGTCAGCAAATGGAGACGCGCACATGGGTTTAGATGATGATGATTTCATGGATCCAACAGCAATACAAGATTTGGGGGAAATTTTTCTGAAGAATTTTTGTAAGAAGGCATCAGTGTCATTTTTTGAGCAATATGGACTGATCAGTCACCAAATCAACTCTTACAATGATTTCATAAAAAATGGAGTCCAGAATGTGTTTGATTCCATTGGTGAGATTACAGTGGAGCCTGGGTACGATCCATCCAAGAAGGGGGAAAATGAATGGAAACATGCTTCAGTAAAGTTTGGGAAGGTCACCCTTGAGCGTCCACAGTTTTGGACAGGTGAGAAGTTTTCAGCTGATAGTGGTAAAGAGTTCATGGATTTGTTGCCCAGACATGCTCGCCTTCAGAATATGACATATTCGTCCCGAATGAAAGTTCAAATTCACGTTCAGGTGAATAATGTGACTGGGTTTTATTACTATTTTCAATTTCTACTTGCAACGATTTTGTTTAGAAGTTTGCAGTGTCTGGTAATTGAGATAGTTGTGTGACTTTGCCAACTGTAAATGAAGTTTTCCACGGGTCATACGCGAGTTGTTGAACCCTAAATTGCTAATATTCTATTATGCAATTTGATTTTGTTATAGAATATCAAAATTTTAGTTATTGATTTTTAATAGTATATTTGGTATCTTTATTATATTCAAATTAGTAAATTGATGCCGAAAATATCAAATGTCATTACTAATACAGGCAAGTGATCTACTAATGTTAGTAATTGCCTTTGTGCCCAAGGGATTTGCCCTTAAAAGTCACTCAGTTTACTAGGGAATTATTGCTGAGAATACTTATTTTGAATTGTTAGTATATCTTGGAAACTTAAGGTTTCTTACATTGGCAACACTAACTTTTTTTGGAGCTCATAAAATTTATAAAAATTCTGCTGTTAATTTTTCCCGAGGTGCCTATTCATCATTTGTGGTTTTTGTTTAATTGTGATTTTGTGGTACATGGTAATTAAATATTCAGACATGGATGATTATTAAATCTAACTGGTTGTACCTTCATATTGTCTTTTTTTATTGGTTTTATATTTTATGTCCTCATCTTTTTTGGCATACTTGTGGTAATTTATCTAGTACTTTTGAAAAATGAGGTACATCTAAAACCCTAAACAACAGATGTAATTAATTGATGAACCATTCTATCTTGCTCAATGGGCTTTGACTTTTGAGATGTAGTTCTACCACTATAACTACTATTTACATTTTTTTGGTCAAGAACTACTATTTACACTTCGATGTATCCAAGGCTTGTCATGTATTTAGACTTCTTCCCTATGCCTAGGAGTCTTTGGAGTGTTTTTACTTCTTTGAGAAAAATTCAAATTGTGTTGACAGAGTGATAAATTATTGAATGTCTCTTTAATTGCTTAGCTCTATCATCAAACTTTGTCTATAAAATCTCTCTCCTTTTCTTTTCATCCCTCATGAACGATATCACTAGTTTTGATTCTACGGATGAATTGCGTAGATGATAATTGTAATGCTCATGTATAGTGTAGGACTTTTATTCTGCTGGCTCCTCTTTCGCCAGAGTAGTAAACCAAACCAAATCAAATCAAACCAAACCAAGCCTTAAGTCCCTTCAAATGGGGTCGGCTACATGAATTCTTCTTCTCTACGCGGCCCTATCAAAGGCCATTTCATTAGTCAGATTAAGTAGATCCATATCTTTATTTATAACGCTAGCCAACGTTCATCTAGGCTTACCCCATCCTCTAACCCTCCCATCTACCGTAACAATATTGCATTTCTTCATTACTGCCTCTGTTGTTCTCCGTTGAATATGACCACGCCATCTCAATTGATTCTCTCTCAACTTATCTTCTATCGGTGCTACTCCTTCCTATTCCCAAATATACTCATTCCTAATTCTGTCTTGTTTATTCTTGCCACACATCCATCTCAGCATACTCATCTCAGCCACACTCATCTCAGCCACACTCATCTTATCTACATGTTATTTCTTGGTTGTCTAACACTCCGTTCTATACAACATTGCTGGTTTAATAGCCGTTCTATACAACTTACCTTTTAGTCTAGTGGGTATTTGTTTATCTCTCACCTAGACGCACTTCTCCACTTACACCATCTCGTCTTAATTCTAAGGATCACATCCGCATCAATCTCCCCTGTTGTTGCGATAATCGACCCTAAATAACGAAAATGTTCACTCTTAGACAGTTTTTGGTTCTCAATCTTCATTTCTCCTCTACTTTCATTGTTACTTTTACTAAATTTACACTTCATGTACTCTGTCTTAGTTCTGCTTATCCGAAAATCTTTAGGTTCAAGAGTTTTTCTCCAAATCTCCAATTTTGTGTTAACTCCTTCTTTACAAAAAGTCAAAGATTCTCTTTTCTCTCTACTTTTTGCACATCTTTTCGTAATTAGCCAAAAAGTTATCCCAAACATACAAGTTTTTTTTACCTACCTTTTTAGCCAAATAGCCAAAAAGTTACTAAATTAGCCTGTTCCCAAACGAGGCCTCAGTACCCTAGACGCACTTCTCCACTTACACCATCTCGTCTTAATTCTATGGATCACATCCGCATCAATCTCCCCCGTTGTTGCGATAATCGACCCTAAATAACAAAAATGTTCACTCTTAGACAGTTTTTGGTTCTCAATCTTCATTTCTCCTCTACTTTCATTGTTACTTTTACTAAATTTACACTTCATGTACTCTGTCTTAGTTCTGCTTATCCGAAAATCTTTATGTTCAAGAGTTTTTCTCCAAATCTCCAATTTTGTGTTAACTCCTTCTTTAGTCTCATCCACTAGCACGATATCGTCTGCAAAAAACATACACCATGGCACGTCATCCTAAATATTTCTTGTCAACTCATCCATAACTAAAGCAAAAATATAAGGATTTAAGGTAGATCCTTGGTGTAACGCTACAGTGATAGGAACTTCATTTGTCTCTCTAGCAGGCGATCTAATAGTGGTCACCACCCCGTCATACATGTCCCTAATCACATCAATGTAATCGTTTGTCACCCCTTTCTTCTCTAACACCCACCATATTATATCCCAGGACACTTTATCATATGCTTTCTCAAGGTCAATAAACACCATATGAATGTCTCTTTTATTTTCTCTATAATTTTCTATTACTCTCCTCAAAAGATAGATCGCTTTTATTGTTGACCTACCATGCATTAATCCAAATTGATTCTCTGATACCTTTGTTATATCTCGTAATCGGCGTTCCATCACCCTCTCCCACAATTTCATTATATAGCACATTAGCTTGATTCCTTTATAGTTGTTGCAATTCTGGACATCTCCTTTATTCTTATAGATTGGCACTAAAATACTCTTCCTTCACTCATCTGGAATGTTCCTAGTCAACAAAATTTTGCTAAACAACCTAACCAAGCAATCCTCTTTTTATCCAAACACTTCCAAGCTTTAATAGGGATATCATCAGGTTCTAAAGTCTTATTTAATTTCATCTTCTTAAGTGCAATCTCCACTTCAAAGTTCCTAATCTTGTGATAGAACCTATAGTCTTGGTTTATCGTATTACTGGCTATTTCTTCCCCTATTACCATACCTCTATGTTCCTCATTTAATAGTTTCTCAAAATAATTCTTCTATCTTTCCTTAATCTCTTCATCCTTCACCAATACCTTAGAATCCTCACTCTTGATGCACTTAACTTGATTAAAATCTCTTGTTTTTCTCTCCCGTATCCTAGCAAGTTTGTATACCCTTTTGTCTTCCTCTTCACTATCTAGTCTAGTGTATAGGTCATCATAAGTTTTCAACTTAGCATTTCTCACTACTTTCTTGACCTCCTTATTAGCCAATCTATAGTTCTTAAGGTTTTCCTCAATTATATCGTTCTGCCACTTTTTAAAGCACTCTTTTTTTGCCTTAACTACCGCTTGAACCTCTTCCCTCCACCACCACCAAGTTTCCCTAGAGTTGGGTTCCATTCCTTTCGACTCTCCAATCACTTCTCTTGAGATTCTCCTCATACAATTGGCCATCGAGTTCCACATAGTGTTAGCATCATCTTCCAAGTCCTAAGTACCTTCCTTATCCATTCTATTCTTAAATATTTCTAATTTATCTCCTTTTAGGTCCTACCATCTCGTCCTGCCCATCATCCTTCCTAGCTTGGTATTACTCTCTAAAATATAAATCTAGTACCAAAATTCTATGTTGAGAGGCCAAGCTCTCTCCAGAAATCACTTTATGAGCATTGCATTTTAGGCGGTCCACTTTTCGCAAGAGTAGTGAATATTTCTTTATCGACCTCAAAAGTTTGTATTTCTTATTCTCCTTAGGTTATGCGAGGCATGTGAAGATAATTTGTTTTCTTGTTGATTTTAATAGTTTTATAAGTATATGCACACTTTTCACAAATTTAAACCAAATTACCTCACGGTTATCACATCAAAGGGACGTGTCGATATACTACTTAGATTTGTTCAATCAATTCATTTATTTTGGCATGTTTATTTTTCTTTTGTATCAATGGCCCTTATGTACAAATTTTACTATTCATGCTCTTCTAAGGCTTAAGGACACTGTATGCATTCTAGGCTAGAATATTGACCCTTTTAAATTTGTTCATTTGATACTTTGAGAGCCGTTAACATTGTAGTTTTGCCTCATTTGATTCCACCTTTGGAACCTAGATTTGGCTTGCCATCTATGATAGGCTTTTTTTGACCTAGCATTTTGATTTGCTTTGTAATCCTGCCGCGAGTGGACTTGGCTTGGAAACTTTTATTCATATCATTTTGGTATCTAAACAACCCATAGTCCACATATCTTTTATTTTGGCCATTGTTATGATGATGGTTCTTCATGGTCTTCTTTTTATGATCAACAATAAATAAGATTTTTATTAAAATGAGAAAGAAAAGAATATATACAAAAGAAATATTAGGGTACAAGAAGTCCAAAAAAAGTGGAAAAAAATACAACAAAAACATCACAAACTTCATACAGTTCTCCAATCTCTAGAAATCAAACTTCATGGTTTTTGGTCCTTGTCTTGCCCAAAGTTTTCCTATGCTGATAAAGCAATTTCATGGCACTTCTTCTATGCCGATGAAGTTTTGTGATATGATAGCATTTCAAGAAGCTTCTAAGGTAACCGACTTGTTCATGTGCTTCCAATGGTAGTGGCTAAGGTTCTACCTAAGGTTGCATGCTACAAAGTCATGCAACCTATGCTAGTATTAGCACTGATAGTGTTCTTTCCCTTTTTGTCTTTCTCTTGTGTCCCAAGGGGCTGTTGGCAAAACCCTTGTTTCTATACTTGTATTTATTATTATCTAAAATATTATGGTGTTTGTGTAATCTTTCAGGTATATTCTCCAAAGCTCGTTAGAAGTGACAAATTTAAAACTGGCAAAGAACAATATCTAGATAAGGAAATGTTAAGTGACGATAACAGGGATGTCCTTGTGGGCCGGATCCCTGTAATGCTCAAGTCTGATTTGTGCTGGATGAATGGGGTTGAAAAAAGCGACTGTGACTTTGACCATGGAGGCTATTTCCTAGTCAAGGGTGCTGAGAAGGTGAGAAACTTGTATCTTTCCTTCCAATGTGTTACTTATAATAATTACAATTTATTGCTCAGTTGTTCTAGAATATTTTGATGGTACGGTTAGGATTCAAAGATTTATTGAGTCAAGAAGATTTTTGCTTGTATGTGGATGGACTATGCTATTCTCTATAATTAATCTGCATTCCTTCTTGTTTGGAAAATTCAGGAGTGCTGCTGATCAACAAAAGAAAAAAGAAATTCAGGAATGAGACCTTTAAAACGATATGATAACTTCAAATTTCACAATTTCACTTTGTGGAATGCAACTTATAATTCTGACAACAGTAACACAGGAAGCACCTTCCCCTCCTTTCTCCTGTCCCATACTGATTTTGAACTGCAGAGCAGCTAATGGGACACTCTTTTAATAAAAGCTCTATGAATTGGTTACATTTTTTGGTACATTAGGTGGACAAGGGTCTTACTCAGATTGTGTTTTCATTCCACTCTGTATGGTCTATTTCTTTAAGACTTAGGAAGCATCGAACCACTACAACACAAATTGTCATAAATTGCAAGAACCAGGAAACCCGACACAATCGCAACACAAAATTAACTTGATCAAATCAAAGACATTACATATTTGTAGGCTACAAGTCTCTTGGCTCTCTTATTTCTGTAAGGACTAGGACTCCAATTTGGAAACTAAGAATTTTTGATAATAGAAATATTCTAGACCAACTAGGGCTTCAAATAAATTCAAATAAAATTATCTGCCACACAAGAAAACCCATTGGTGATTTCTATAGCCCCATGTCTAGCAAATTATGAAAAAACACCTGGCAATGTTGTTGAAGCTGGAGGATTTTTCAAACTTTCCCCAACCCCCAACCTGAAACAAAGAAGAGAGTAAACATTCTTCTTAAGTTTTGGAATATAGGTTGTTCATCATGAAGATATGATTGTTAAGATTTCGTTTTCCTGTGTATGATTTAGTGGTAATCTTTTTGCGATGTTTATTGCAGACATTCATTGCACAGGAGCAAATCTGCCTGAAAAGGCTTTGGGTGTCTAATAATCCAACTTGGGCTGTTTCATACCGTCATGTTTTAAGAAGGAAAAGAGTGTTTATAAAACTAGTGGATGCTTCTGAAGATAAACAGATTAGTGGCGGAGAAAAAGTCCTTTCAGTGTATTTCTCTGGAACAGAGTTTCCAATCTGGATTTTGTTTTTTGCCCTCGGTGTATCATCCGACAGGGAAGTGGTTAATTTGATTGACTGTCATACTGAAGATTCCAGAATTGTCAATATACTTGTTGCATCAATTCATGATGCCGACAAGTGTGCTGGCTTTCGTAGAGGAGGGAAAGCTCTTAGTCATGTGGAGGCAGATCTAAAACGTAGCAATTTTCCACCTGGAGAATCTATTGAAGAGTTCTTCAGCAATTATTTGTTCCCCAATCTTAGTGGCTTCAGGCGAAAGGCTCGTTTTCTTGGATATATGGTCAACTGTCTGTTGCAGGCCTATACTGGCCGCAGAAAAGTTGATAACAGGGATGATTTTAGAAACAAGAGGTTGGAACTGGCAGGTGAGCTACTTGAACGAGAACTGAGAGTCCACATTAAACATGCTGAGAAGCGAATGGTGAAGGCTCTGCAGAGAGATCTTTATGGAGATCGTCAGCTGCATCCGATTGAACACTATCTGGATGCATCAATCATCACCAATGGTCTTTGTAGGGCGTTTACAACCGGAGCATGGACACATCCTTACAAGAGGATGGAAAGGATCTCTGGTGTAGTTGCAATGCTTAGGCGAACGAATCCATTGCAGGCTATATCTGATATGAGGAAAACACGTCAGCAGGTTCAATACACTGGGAAGGTTGGAGATGCCAGATACCCGTAAGTAATTTGAACTTATTTTGGTTCTTCTTTTAATCTCATATTTTGACCACCCTAAAGGCTGTTACTTCCACCTTATTATGTTGTTTGGTAAATTAGTGATGTCACTACACTGTTATGCGTGGATTGTATTATATCTGAATTATGTCTTGTTGCTAGGCTGTTGATGATGCCAGCATCACAATTTTTCTTAAAAGTGTTCTCCTTTTCTCTATTACTTCTGTAAAATCTAGTTGCTGGAACCTTGGTGGGTGATTGATTAACAGCATGGTCCCTTCTAGGATAGTGTTTGTATATAGCTGGTGTCTCGATAATCTAAAAGGTTGATAATTTCTTGGGTGAAAACTGGTACATGAGATAGTGCAAACCAACTCTGAGAGTGGCTTCAGGCTCAAGAACTTTTTCTAGTCTGGTATTGGCTATTGGCTGAAGTTACTGTATCTGATGCAGTTCAGCTTTTTATCCATTTTGTTCTTTATTATTGATACTTCCATGTACTCTCTTCCTCCCCATGCTGATTAAAGAATTTGTGTGCATGCATGAGAAGTTGATAGCTTTATTTTATTTTTCAAATCATTCCAGATGTAATGTTATTACAAATATAAAGCTGTGTGGCTGAAAGTTAAAGTTGTGTTTCTAGTAGCATGAGCATTAAAAAGGTGGCTTGATATTTGTTTTCAAAAATTATTAACAAGTTGTTGGATACACGGTGTAAATAATCTATAATTGTGATATTCATATACAATTTAGTGAAGTGTCTTCTGCAACTTTTGTGACTTGCTCTTTAACATATGAATGTCGCTGGCACATTAGGCAAGCTCCTCTTTATTGCTGCGTTTTTTGTATGCCAAGTTGTAGAAATTTAATGTATAAAGAGAAATAGAGAATTGTATTATTGATTGATTTATTGTTGATTTCTATTACAATGATTCATGATTCCTATATATAGAAGAGGGTGAGTGTGTAGTAGGTAAGGAGTAGGTGAAGTGGAGGTGGTAGTGGTGTAGTGGGTTAGGTTTAGTGGAGTAGGTGAGGTGGTAGTGGTGTAGTGGGTTAGGTTTAGTGGAGTAGGTTTAAGTGGGTGAAGTAGGTGGAGAGTAGGTGGATTTTAACACAAGTAATGGATACCTCTTCTACTACACTGACAATGCATGTGAAAATCTTCGCTACCAAATAAATATGGCTATTGATGTACACAAACACAAGGATGCATATAATTGGAATTTTTATTCCTTGTATTTTCTCTCCAAGATTAATTCGTTCACCTTGAACATTGATGAATTTGGTTGTTTTGGAAAAGGTAAATCTGATGCTTTCCTATACATCCGACACGGGCCAGATGATTTTAATGTTTCTAGCAGCATTTTGTTTTTGTTTTTTCTGTTTTGTTTATTTATTTAATTTTTACAAGAATAGTCAGAATAAAGACTTGTGTTCTGTATTTGTTGCATCAGATTGTTGAAGTTATAACATTTATTTATGCTCTCTACACATATCTTAATTCTTGTGGAGGTCAAGTCATTTGGATGTTGGTTGAGAGATGTCTGGCAACAATGGTAATCTTATGCTTACAATTGTTCTGGATGCAGACACCCATCACACTGGGGAAAGATTTGCTTTCTGTCTACCCCAGATGGTGAAAATTGTGGGCTTGTAAAAAATCTGGCCATCACAGGACTCGTCAGCACAAATGTTGAGGAACCTTTTCTTGACCAATTGCTTGATTGTGGGATGGAGAGACTGGTAGATGATACCTCAACTTTGCTTTCTGGAAAGTACAAAGTTTTGGTGGATGGGGATTGGGTTGGAGTATGTGAAGATTCTAGTTGGTTTGTTGCACAGTTAAGGGCTATGCGACGCAGGAAGGAAGTGCCACTCCAGGTTCACACCTCTTTCTATTTACTGTCTAGAACTTTCATATTCAATTATATCTTGAATTCGGTTTGCTAGCTGTACTGTGGCAGATGGATTGGATTGGAAAATCTGGGTTAAAAAAATGATTTGGGTGTAAAACTGTTAATATTCCATTGTCCGTATAATTTCGTGCTTTCAAGGGAGGGATAGATTAGTAGGACTGTATTGTAAATGCATGAATGTTAAATTATACTTGCAAAATGTGCTTATGCTACCTATATGAGTCTCTTTAGTACAAGCTACAAGCTAAACTCGAAAGTTCATTTGATGAGATCTTAGATGTCCTACTCGTCTAGTTGTTTATGTAATATTGTCACTACTACTCTACTGAAAGTTCTGAGTATCTCTCTATGATTAAATTAGTGAAGGTTCCACGCTCAGGAATTGCGGTAGTATTAGTCCTGGAACATGTTTCGATTACTTTCCCTTAAAAGTTACATGTGTTCACTTCTCTTGGGTTCTAAAGCAGACTGATTTGTTTTGCTGTTCATTGCTGTGTGTGTGTAGTATGATCGTATTTGTGTCGTCTAAAGCTCTCGAGTATCATTTCTCTTGTAGGTTGAAATCAAAAGAGATGAGAAGCACAGAGAAGTGCGGATATTTTCTGATCCTGGAAGGATTTTACGTCCTCTTCTAGTTGTTGATAACTTACGGAAGGTTAAAGCTCTGAAAGGGGGAAATTACAGCTTTCAAACTCTCCTGGATAATGGAATAATTGAACTTATTGGAACTGAAGAAGAAGAAGACTGCCGAACCGCTTGGGGAATTAAATACCTCTTGATGGAATCCGAGGGCAAGTCACCTGTCAAATACACACACTGTGAACTTGACATGTCTTTTTTATTAGGTTTAAGCTGTGCAATTATCCCTTTTGCAAATCATGACCATGCAAGGAGGGTCCTCTACCAGTCTGAGAAGCACTCTCAACAGGCTATTGGGTTTTCCACAACAAACCCGAATATCAGAGTAGATACCAATACTCATCAGCTTTACTACCCTCAAAGGCCACTTTTCCGGACAATGCTTTCTGATTCTCTTGGAAAACCAGGATATCCTCTCGGTCATAATGGAATAGTGCCAAGGCCCGAGTACTTCAATGGCCAATGTGCTATTGTGGCAGTTAATGTTCACTTGGGGTACAACCAAGAGGATTCCTTGGTAATGAATCGGTCTTCGTTAGAGCGTGGCATGTTTCGATCAGAACACATAAGAAGCTACAAAGCTGAGGTCGATAATAAGGAAGCATTAGGGAAGAAGCCCAAGTATGAGGACACTGTTAACTTTGGAAAGATGCAGAGCAAAATTGGACGTGTTGACAGCCTTGATGATGATGGTTTTCCATTCATTGGAGCAAATCTCCAGAGTGGTGATATTGTCATTGGCAAATGTGCTGAATCAGGGGTAGATCACAGTATAAAATTGAAGCACACTGAAAGGGGCATGGTTCAGAAAGTCGTGCTATCTGCTAATGATGATGGAAAAAACTTTGCTGTAGTATCTTTGAGACAGGTAATTTCACTTTATAGTTGTGATTGAATTTTGGTATGCATATATGTTAATGAAAGTGGTGTGCCCGATCCGTTCAGTGTTGTGCTCGATATGTTCAGTGTTCAGGTTTTACCTTTTCTTTCTACAACAGTCGTTTACCATAAATATTTCAATTCCTGATTAACAATTGAATTCTTGACTGTTTGTTTCTTGCAGGTTCGAATGCCATGTCTTGGTGACAAGTTTTCTAGCATGCATGGGCAGAAAGGTGTTTTGGGCTTTTTGGAATCTCAAGAGAATTTCCCTTTCACAATTCAAGGGATTGTCCCCGACATTGTCATAAACCCTCATGCATTTCCTTCACGTCAGACTCCTGGTCAATTGCTAGAGGCTGCCTTGGGAAAGGGTATTGCATGTGGTGGCTCGCTACGATATGCCACCCCGTTTTCCACTGTTTCTGTTGATGACATAACGGATCAGCTTCATAGGTAACAATGCCATAGCAAAGGCATCTTTTTACATTGTGTCGTGCTTGTTGCAATGCCTATTGGCCTACAATTTCGTATGTGCTCTGTATATTTTCTGGAAAACTTTTTTTTTTTGTTGTATTTTTTGATGTTTGGTCTGACTAAAAACAAAAGTCAATGGAAAATGTTTTTCGTGGTCAACGGAAAATAAGAAAATATTTCACTTTTAAAAGCTAGAAAGCCTCCGTTTGGGAAGTGGGTTGGCTTTTTGGCTTTTTTGGCTATTTTAGCCCTATTGGCCTACAATTTCGTATGTGCTCTGTATATTTTCTGGAAAACTTTTTTTTTTTGTTGTATTTTTTGATGTTTGGTCTGACTAAAAACAAAAGTCAATGGAAAATGTTTTTCGTGGTCAACAGAAAATAAGAAAATATTTCACTTTTAAAAGCTAGAAAATGTTTTCCGAATTAAACTCTTCCTGATGCCACCAGACTACCACCATCACTTCACTGCTGCCAGCCTGCCACCTTCACCACCACCACCACCACAACAACCACTAACACCACAAATAATACAATCACCTGCACTTTAGTTCCAATGTTGCAACCAAACATAGGAAAATGTTTCCGCTGAAATAGAGTGATAGTATCACTCACTTTGTCATATAAATATGGATATACTCCTTGATACTCATCATTATACTTGCTGCATATCCATGGCAGGGCTGGATTTTCAAGATGGGGGAATGAGAGAGTGTACAACGGCCGAACAGGTGAGATGATTCACTCTCTTGTATTTATGGGCCCAACATGCTACCAGCGTCTGACCCATATGTCCGAAGACAAAGTGAAATTTCGCAACACTGGACCAGTGCATCCGCTCACCAGACAGCCCGTGGCAGACAGGAAGCGCTTCGGAGGGATCAAATTTGGCGAGATGGAGCGTGACTGCCTTATAGCCCATGGTGCAGCAGCCAATCTCCATGAACGACTCTTCACTCTCAGCGACTCCTCCCAAATGCACATCTGCCGGAAATGCAAAAACATCGCGAATGTTATTCAGCGGCCCGTGCCTGGCGGCCGCAAGATTAGGGGACCCTATTGCCGGTTTTGCGAGTCTGTGGAAGACATTGTCAGGGTGAATGTGCCCTACGGAGCGAAGTTGCTGTGTCAAGAGCTTTTCTCCATGGGCATATCTTTGAAGTTTGAGACTGAAGTCTTTTGAGTTATGGTTAGAACTCTGTTTATCTGTTAATGTTGGAGCAAAGACATACATCTATTTCTATTACCTATAATGAAAACGGCGAGGGTTATGTTTTATTTTCTCCTATCTGCTCTCCTTTTGTTATTAGAATTTAACCATTCTTTTAGCTTTTTTTACTTTCTACCCCAAGGAAAGACATGCCAAGGTTTATTATTGCCTTCACAGGTTTTGGCAACCGACATCACACCCCGCCCCATTCTCTTGTAGCCTTTTTCACAGCACACTTACACAACACAATTCCAAAATAATCATATTTATTTGTCACATTTTATTTACCATCTTATGTATTTATAATAGATTTGATAATTGATATGAATTATGTAACTCATTGAATCAATCAAATTTTATAACACAAGTGGGTAAATAAAAGATGATATATAATTCATTCAACTAACGAAATTTTGTAACACGAGAGGGTAAATAAAACATCAACGATAACTATAGTCATTATATCATTATTTAAATATATTTTTATTTATCATCTTTTGTCTATCAAGTGTTTTTGTAGTTGATAATTGATAATTGATATGATTGATGTGATTCATTAAACCAATGAAATTTGTAACACATGAAATAGTAAACAAAACATGATAAATAAATGTGATCATTATATCATTAGTAAAAAAAAATAAAAAAATTAATGTTATGATTATCATCTCATATGTCAATATATATTGATTTAATATTTTACGCTATCAAAATATGAAACATGGCATATGATGAAGGCGATCAACAGTAACAATTGATAGTGATAATGAAAATGATCAAATAATGATCGAGATGATCGACATAAATAATTGATATCACTAAATTTAAATAAAAAGAATTAATGATGAATTTGTTCTTTGACAGAAAATTTTCTTGTATATCTATATATGTTTGATACAATTTATGATGATTTTTTATTTATTTAATTTGACTTCTTTTGATGAAAGTTGAGTGTTTGTGATATGTGTTACTTCTTTTACTCTGTGACACAGGAATATGAGATGTGCACTTACAAAATATTACGGATTATTTTGCGAGTAGAGTTAGGACTTGGGGTGATATTTATTATAAAATGTTATAATACATAAAATATTTATTTTTATTGAGTTTAATAATTAAAATATCTATTATTTTGTCAATTTTATTTAAAGAAAATAGATAAATGAATTAAATTAAAAATAAATAAAAAATTCAAGGTTTGCAATAATTCAATAATAATAATAATAATTATTATTTTTTGAGGACAAAACTATAAGAATTTATTTTTAATTAGGCTGTCATTGACTATATTTTGTTTGGTATGTGAAAAACGGATTGAAAGTGATTCAGACAGATTAACTGGCATGAGCTCAAAATTATTATTCTGATCCATAAAGTTTTGGGCCATGGTCTATCTTGGTATGTTTATTATTTTATATGTAGATATGTGATATGGAGGTGTAAGGCATGTTTTAAGTTACTTGGGTTCCTTAATGGGAGGGCCCAGTAATTATTTTATTTATGTTCAGTCTCCTCCCTTATCCTTAGTAGGGTTTACATATATCTATATATATGTAGATCAAAGGATTGTCAGTCCCATTGAAAAGACAATAAAAAGATTAGGAGAAAGAGGGGAAGAGTTGGTGCTAAGGTTTTTCAATTGTGAATACCATATTCTTTCAAGGAAGTAAAACTCATGGAATCAAACAGTATGTATCTAAGTTTATATTTTAGTAGTTAATTATATTCATAGTGTTTTAATTTCTAGTATATAGATCTTATAATCTTACATGTGGTATCAGATCAAGTTTATACTAGAATCAAAATCATGACAGATTATTTCAGTAAAATTATTTTATATAATGATAAGGAATAAATTAATATTTCTTTTACTGAATGATGCTTTTGCATCTCAAAATCGTGCTTTAGTAATTTCTAGAAAACTTTTTCAATGTAACAAATACATACTGTTTGAGTATCGATAGTTTGCTTTCAATTGTATTTTATAAAATAAAAAATAGTAATTTGGATCTGGTAGTTTATGACAATTGTAAAATATGGACGTGTGTATATTGAATCTATATTGATATATATATATATATATATATATATATATCAAATCTTACCTAATCAAATATTTGCAAAACATATGAAACATATTCGTTTTTATGACTTTTACATAAACATTAAGATTGTTAAAGAGTTCTATATCATGTATATCACTTTGGTGTAATTTTTGTAAATTCATATGCGAATTTTGGTTGGCTGTGAGATATTATTTTTGAGTAACTGTTTAGTAGTGATTCGTAATATGATATTATATATGCTTTGATGGGTTACAGATTGCATTATTGTTAATAAATAAATAAAGTTTTAAAGGTGGACAAATATTTATTTTTGTAGTCCCAGTTAGAAGTTTTTTGAATCAATATGGGTGATACTGCCGAAGTGGTTAACTTATTGAGATTTAAATTGATTTACCAATAAGGATTCTGGAAAACTCTTCTAATATTATATCACTCAATTATATACCCAAAGGGGGTTAATCGAGTGTATTCATTTTAGAGGTAGTGTGAGCTACTAGTAAGGGAAATTTTATTATTTTTGAAAGAATTTATCTACCCAAAGGAGAGAATTTCTTGATAAATCATTTTTGCTAGTTGACTTGTTTATAGGTGTTAGAATGTGTCTTATATATTTAGCCAAAAGGTATTTATATGATGGTACATTTTAAAACATCTGACAATATTGTTAAAGTTTATTTGCTGCTCATTGTTGTGAGATTATAATTTTTGCCCATGTATAATTAATTAAGATTATATTGAAGTTTAAAGATGTTGATTGTATTCTGTATATTCAACCCAAATGTGTTTATATAGTGACACATTCTGGCACACCTAAGAATATTGCTAAAGTTTATTCGCAGCATATTCTTGTGAGATTATACTAATTGCTTATGTATAATTGAAAATTAGAGTTGTGAACATGATTTCTATATATTCAGTTTAAGAGTGATACATTTTAAATATTTGAGAATATTAATTGTGATTATGAGATTATTATTGTCCATATATAATTGAATGATATTATATTGAATTGAAAGCAATGAAGGGAGATATTTTTATGAAAATTAAATTTACTTCATTAAAGTTTTGATTATGAATCGGTTAAAAGATATTGGGTTAGCTTTAAGACTAACAGATTTAGATATTGAAATAGTCGAGAATGTGTCTTCTTAACCATTTATATTAAGACCTCAATATAGTGTGAAAGATTGAAATTATATTCAATGTTAACTATTTAAGAAAGTAGAGTTTTAAAATATTCACTAGGTGATTCTTATAAGAAAATCTAAATTATACTTTACAATACTTTATATAATACCTTCGACTTTTATAAATCGTTATCTCTCTTCAGTGTTTTATGTTTTCCTTTTCAAAATATTCTGCATATCTCTTTGTATATTATTAACTCAAGTAACAAAAATTCTTTAGAATTTTTTGTGAGCTAGATTGACTTGTATGAGCCCAAAATTATTATTGTGATCCATAAAGTTTGGGCCATGGTCATCTTAGTGTATATATTATTTTATATGTGGATAT